TTGGTGTTACACTTACATTTATCCTGGTTCAGCTTACATACACATGTAAAATTGCCATTATAGTCATGGACATTTGATTAAACCTACGGTGCTTGCCTGGATATTAAAAATTGTATGCAGAAAATTATAAAATCCAGAACTGTAGTTCTACGTCTTTTCATCAAATGGAGCAACTTTGTAACAAACTTTCAGATCAAGGAAGAGAACCAATGTGATAAGTAGACATCCCTTTGTAACTCATTAGGCTGCTATCAAAATTCAGCATGAATTCTAGCTAGATGCTTAATTTAGGCTGCTTAAAAATGCCATAATGGTTATTTCCCTATTAACAACACTGCGAGTATTTACATAACAAGTAAGATCCAAAATCAGAATGCCAAAACATTGACTTAATTTGGGGAAAATTGGTCCTACCCCTTTATATTTAACACTGGGCTTCTTCCAATTGCTTTTGAGGCAGTGTTCATGGAAGTGCCCAGCCCAGGATCCTCAGACTGTGAGAACCTACTAATTTTCCATTAGATCTGAGTGCTTAGCTTTACACAAAAAAATTAACTCCTCTTATATATTTCTGCCTTCTTGTGGAAAGAATTGCATCCAAAAGTCAGCAAGACAGTAAAACCCTCTTTGTGAATAATTTCAATGCATAATCAGCTGTGGACAAGCAGAGGTCTATTGCTGAGACAATGTGGGCTTGCTTCAGACACAGAGCAGCTGTGAGAAGTTGCCTTGTCTGTTTTTTCTTTCCTCTCTGTTGGTTTCATTACTTGTAAAATTAGAAAATTAGACAAAGTAGTTTTAATTTCCTAGCCCTAGCTCCAAAATCCTCTTTGCACCCAAATCTGTGCACGCTCCCGGCAAGCGGCTCAGGTGGCCCATAGTGAGTGCTATGTCTCTCTGGGGGTACCATGGTACACTTTAGGGGCCTTGGCTGTCAAAGCTATATTGCCCCACAGGGTGGCAGTAGGTGGCGATGAGCCTTTCTGTGGCACCCTGTGACCCATCAAGGCGGCTCCAGGGCCACCTCCTGAGTGTTAACGACTCCCTCTAAGGGCTGCTTGGGGGTCAGCTGGGGTTAAAGCACTAGTGTTGGAGATCAGCAGATGGAACAGCCCTGTGGATGAATGATTAACCCAAAGAGTAAATTATTCAGAGAGTGGGACTGGAGAGGTGGGGGCCTGAGGGCTGGGGTATGGAAAAACACGCATGTGTGTTCAGCATGCACATGTGCGCTGCTGACTTGTCCTGCAGCTCTAAGTGCAGATTCTTTGCTGCTGGATTGAATATTTTTATTTTACAGACATGCACATCCATATACATGACATATGTTTTAAGGGTCTGCACATTAAATTAATACTTGCTAATGGGTCCAACTGCACAGAGCTGGAAAAAAAAAAAAAGTTAAGTCTTGGACAGGAAGAGAATAAATTAGCAAGAAGGAGGAGGCAAAAAGGTGACTCTGGGCCAGTCCTTGGAACCACATTGCTAGTGGGAGGGGCTGAGCCGGAACTGGGAAGGGGCTGCCCCAGGCAGAAGCCCGAGGTCGGTGCAAAATCAGGGAAGACCAGGGCTCCCCGCGGCTGACACTCCCCCCTCGTGCTGTGCCTGCACCTGCTGCATGTGACCAGCAGGCACCAAGGCAGCCGCAGCCCCAGCTGTGACGAGGCAGCACAGCTTTGCCAGCTCCCGCCCTGCGCTCACCGAGCAGGGAACGGAGCAGAGGCGGGGCGGGAGTCTCGGCGCTCGAGCCAGGCACCTCCCCGAATGCGAGACTCCAGGAGAGCTGCAAGACAGAATGGAAGCCCAAAGAGCATCAAAGATGCAGGCACTGTGAGAGGGACAGGGGAGGCCTTGGAGAGCAGGACCCCCTCCCGGACTGAAATGCTTTTGGACAAGGTGCCCTCGTTCTCCTCTTCTTTTGCTCAGAGGAAAAGAGCCAGCGAGGACCCTCCTGAGTGTTCCTGAGTGGCCTTTCTGTCGTCGTTAGTCCTCTCCCAGGGCACAGGGCTGTCAGCTGACCTTTGCAGAGGCATCTCAGCCTAGCAGAGGATATAGTTCTTAATAAAACAAACCAAACCAAACAAGTTCTGCAGTCTGCATGGTGGTGTAGCTTGCTTGCTGCGGTTCTCTGTCCGTGACATTTTGGAATGTCTGCAGAAACTTAAGAAAGAACACCTTAAAATCGCCCTGGATTAGGTCAAAGAAAAAGAAGTTTTCTACCAGAAAGGAGGACAGGAGGGTGGGTAATTTATCCATAAGCCAGGAACTGGCTGATCAATATCTTGGAGTTGTAGGAATCAGCACTTCAAAGAAAACACATAAACCAAAATGAGAAGAGCCTGTAGGGTTCCACCCAGAGGCAGGGTGTAAACAGCCTACCTGCACCCTTCAGAACTCAGGGCCTGAATGATGCCTGAAGAACGGAACTCTGGGGGACGCCCCTCAGGTGCCCCAGCTCCAACTGCCTTCATCCCCAAAACCACGTACAGAAGAATCAAACGCTGCTTTAGCTTTCGCAAAGGTAGGTAGATGGCATTTTCATGTCCTCTTTGACATATACCTGTATTATTTTGGACTCTAAGGTCTGGGTATGCACTGATGAACCAAGAGGTTGGAAACTTACAACTGTGCAAGAGGGGTTTGGGTGTGTCCCTGGCATCTGTGCTCAGTTCTTAGTGATTCTTATTTCTCATTGATCTGTCTGTGAGTGTGTGTGTGTGTGTGTGTGTGTGTGTGTGACATAGTGGTCCTCCAGCAGACAGGGAACTGAGCAAGTGGTACTGATATCTTAAAAGGGAGGGTCACGCCTCTATTGGGTTCTTTCCAGATGCCCACCCAGCAGCCCCCTCTGGCCCTTTACACAGGTCCAGGGAGCCCCTGCGCCGGTGTTCTGTTGTTTTGGCTACGGTTCTGGCTGCCCATGCTAACCTCACCTCTCCTGCAGAGACAGTTTTGAGAATCTGATTACTTCTGGGAACGCTGTGAGGAGACATGCAGATATATTGATTTAACATCAGCTAGAAGTGAGAATCCCTTTGACTGCGCAGATACATCATGAAGTGCCTCTGGGAAAGCACTACTGTCAGAAATGGGTGGGGAAATGCAACAACTGTTAATTAACAAAATAAACTGACATTTTTGAATTGGCTTATTTTGAGGGTCTTGAGGCCTAAGCAAACAGCAGTGCTTCCTGAAAATGTTTCTGCTAGAAAACATTTCAGAGTTCCTTTTGCTTTAAAATGAGAGTAGGTTGAATGTCTGTTTAAGTGCAAACTAGGTAATTACAATCTCAATGTCATGCGCAGGAAGCCAATAATTTAGTCAGGGACAGAACTGAATGACATCTGGGGTTGTTTCCATTCCTTGCTTGGTAGGCAACACAGGAATGAGAAAAAAAAAAAACTAAGAAAACTCCAATGCACAAAATATTACCCAATTTTTAATGGTCTCTTTATTCCGAGTCTTTTTATTTGAAGAAGTTATAGTCTGGCTATGTGCACCATCACATGTTAGCAGCCAAAAATTCAGATATTAATTCCCATTCCTATCTCATTCATAAAGGAAATTGAATGAGAGATACATAGTTTTAATCATATTTTATAGATCTTTGGGGATTTCATGGATGCTGTCAGATGACATCAGTGACAAACTGAAAGTGATATGCATTGAAAAAAGCACAACTGACTAATCGCTTAAAGGATGGGTCTCTTTCTTCAAGCTCCCTGCCCCCTAGACGTGCAGGGTTGTTTCTGAGGACCTAGCAAGGCCTGTTTCACCACCTCACTTCTCCGCTGGGGGGGGGGCGGGTGTTAGTGGATCTGTGACAGGCCATGGAGTAGCTGTGCTTCCCCTGGCCCCTTCCTTGCTCCTTGACCCCAGGAGGGAAAGGCAGTGAGCCTGTGCAGGAACTGCCTCTCCTCACCAAGGGGCTGCAGGCACAGGGAAGAGTGTCCATCACTCAGCTCCTGGGGCCCTTTTTAAAGTGCTGTCCTTCCTAGGCAAATCTGTGGTTGGGAAATGTTCAACTTTCGAAAGGAAAGGCTATATTCTATGTTCTGTGATGACCAGAAAAAGGAGGGGTATGGGAAGCCTTCAGGCTACCCCTGCCTGATGCCCTGCTGCTGAGCTTGTGGGCACAGAGGGCCTGGGATAACCGTGTGCCTAGCTGTGGCCCACTACTGCCCTGCCTGCTGTCCAAGACTGTGCCACCCTGTGCAGAGAGTGATTTCTATGTGTTCTTAAATCTCCTGACTGTCCAAGCGTTTCCAGAAGTGGACCTAGTTTCTGAGCTCTCTGGAACCAGCTGAAGTCTTTGAAAGCAGGCCAGCAAGGAGCGCCCGTGAAGCTAGCAAAAATGCCAATGAAGAAGTACTGTGGGTGTAGCTCTTTTTACTGATCCATCTGTTGTTGAGGATGGAGTGACAGAAGAGGAGACACCAAAGTCTCCAGGCTTCAGGAAAGCTATCTAAGGCAGGGCAGAGGTGGTGAGAGCTCCGAGCAACCTGGCAGGGGCAGAGTTTGCTCCTGGGCCTTCAGGAATCCTTTTTGCACAATACCTTCCTCTTCCAGATCTCTTCTGCCCTTTACTGCCCTCTTCATCTCTTCCATTGTTCCAGTACTAGTTAAGGTCACTGAAAATGTTTTCCAGAGGTGTTAGAAACCCAGGAACTAAGAAACATCTATTAGGCAGCAAGCTGCGGAATGTGGTACTTTGCATTAATATTGTGGTGAGAAAAAGATTACAATCTATTTTAACTCTTTGGACTTTGAGACTGTGAATTTTCTTTATTTCTGTACCACTGAGATCAGGAGTGTAACCTGTGCTTTGATTACCTGGGAAGGTATACACACTGGTTCTTTTTTTTTTTTTTTTAATTATTTTTTTTTTTTTTTTTAATTTTTTATTTATTTATTTGTGTGTGTGGCCAGCTCAGCCCATCAGGGGGCGCGGCTGGCTGGCATGTGGTGCTGGGGGATTGAACCGCGGTCCCTTTGTTTTTGCTAAGCTTGTTCTAAGTAGGCGCTTTAGACCACTGAGCCATCTCACCAGCCCCATACACACTGGTTCTTGAGAGCTTGGCTTAGCTAGGACGGGCTAGATAACTTGCTTATTGTGTCCAAGAAATGAAAGTTTTCAACTGTGATTTTGCTTCGTTTTTCCATGAATTTCTTTTTCTTGGGTATAAAGCACCACCCATTCCCCAGGGGCTTTTTGTCTACCATCACCACTCAGTGGCCTGAGCAGGGCTGCTTGTCCCTGCTTGCAGCCTCTGATCCCACTCTGTGCCCATCTTCCTCGTCGCCTAGATGTACCTTCATTGCTGCTTACATGCCACTCACCTTGAGTAGTGGCAACATAAGCCAGCGCCCAGCTTTGCCCTGCCCACTGCTGACGCTCTCCACAGAGTCCTGACATCTGTGGTCCACTTTGTAAAGCACTGCTGCATATGTATTCCTAAAACATGTGGCCAAGCAACGTTCCAATCTCAAGGAGTTGTAGGAGCTCCCATGGCCACGGGAAGAAGTCTTCTTTCACATAGTTATCAAACCCTTTAACTATCCCCACCTATAGCTACTGTCTAAGCTCCCTAGCTCCTTAAGTTGACCTACATTTCCTGGCTGAACACATGTCCTGCCCCACCTTTCTGTCTCTGTCTCTGTTTACTCTGCTTCCCCAGCTGTTGATTTCTTCTCCATTTCCCCACATGATCAAGATGTCTTTGGCTCCCACTTCTTCACAAAACCCACATGTGTCTTAGTCTATGTCCTTTATGTTTTATTTAAGCTGCCACTTGGCTGTCTTGTTCTGGCAACCACCTTAAGTGGTTCTGCTCATTTTTACACACACACACACACACACACACACCCTCCCAAAGTAAAGTTTTAGCATTCAATTTATTCAATAAAGAAGTCAAGACTGATTGCTACCTAGTAAACTATTATATTACTACTTAGCTTTTCTTGCTAATTCATAAACCATAATGAATTAAAATAGAACAGCTTCAAGTGGTGGATAATGGCAATGTTCTATTTAGAATTTATTGTTTGTTGAGGCTGGGAAGATGGCTCAGTGGAATAAGCACTTGCCTAGCAAGTACAGGGGCCTGAGTTCAATCCCCGGTTCCACCAAAAAGAAAAAAAAAAGAGAGAGAGAATTTATTGTTTGTTGCTTGTGTTGTAATTATATTTTCTAAATTGATTTTTCTAATAAAATGTTACTATCTAAATTCATATTATTATAAAGTGTAAATCAGTAGCTTACTAGTTTATGTCACAAAGGTTTTTGGACCCTCCACACTATGCTAGGAATGAGAAGGGAAACAGAGGAGGCTGCCTGGAATCTGTGGAATCACAGACTCCTTGGGGCTAGTCAACAAGGAATGACTTAACGGTGATCAACCCTGTAGCAAATTTTATGCACAGTCTTGGGTGTCTATGAACAGAAGACTCATCTTAGACTCATCTGAAAAGTTAGCACTTATCTGAACTACATGAAATCAGATCTTCTCCTATATGATCCTAAGAGAATGGTCAGCCTCACTGTAAAATGTCTGAATTAAGGTAACATAATGTAGTGAGGAGGGGAGAATAACTTTAAAATAATGTATACTTGTATCTGTGATCCAGATCTGCTGTTGTGTAGATGTGTGGCCTCAGACAGGTCACATAGCGTCTTAGAGTCAAGCTTTCTAGCTGTGGAAGAAAGGCTGCCTTGAACAAGTCCATGAGCATCCAATAAAGAAAGTCGTGTAAATTGCATGCCTCGGTGTCTGCATATAAGGGTTTTCTGTAGCTATTCCATTGGTCTAAGGCATAGGCCACTGTCCGTATGTTAACCTTATAGCCTTCATTTTCCCAGGCCTTTATCTTTCTTCTCCTTCCTCATTCTGACTGTGAAGTAGTGAAAGTTCTAACAACCATTCTTGACTCAGGACGCCTAGCTCCACTTATAGTTACCTGAGGTTTTTGATTGCTTAGAAAGCTGCTGACTGATTGAAGCAAATTTTGGCTGGCTTTATTTCTTAATTCTGTACTCAGGTGGTGTCTTTTATTTTGATATATGCATTTATCAAAGGCGAATATTCGTTGGAAGCGCTTACAACCCTGGTGATGGCTGGGTCTCTCCTATTGGCAGAGGTCCAACAGCAGCAGGAAGTGTAAAGAAAACTCCCTGTGTGGCTAAGCACGTGACCTACAGACAAGAGGAGATGGAAAATGCTAAGCACAGACACCACAGCATGTGAATTACAGTTATATTTTTGAGCTTCTGTCTTCTCATGAACAATCCAAGGACATGTCTGTGCTTCATTTTTCTTGAAAATTAATGTCGTCCCTAAGACTACCGAACAGTTGCATTTTACAATGGTGTGACTCATTTATTGTCTATGTTTAGAGAGGTTGTGCTTTGTTATCACATATGCAATTGTTCTTGAAATGTTTGCAGAGCACTCCTGCCTTGCCCAACCCAACACTCCATTCCAGGGTAGAAGGCAAAGAGCTTCCCTATTGTAGGATAGAGGA